AGAGCCCAGATTGTGCGGTGTTATACAACTGTCTTTTGTTTACGAACCTGGCTCAGTGCACTGCTGACCTCTTTTCAATAGGGGCCAGATTAGCATGCAGCGATGCTGTGTGGCTCATCGCTGCAGTGGTGGAGAGCTTTTGTCCCCGGTGGTAATCCGCTTGCTCTAAATACCCCAAACCCTGGTATACGGTTTCAAAATAACGCTGGATTAAGCTACAGAATAATAGTAAGGAGTTCAACAAGCATCTTTTTCAGTGTGCAAATACTATTTTGTATTTTCCATGTAAATTTACATGTACATGTACCGTACTTCATGGTTTGTTGGTACTTTCCTAATTGCAGGTTGCACCATACATGATTCTATGTCACGTCATGTTTTGTTGCCTATCAGTGGCTGATAAATGGCTTGCTGTCAAAAACAAAAGAAAAATTCATTACAAAATCTCATGAACCTACGGTGTACATTGTACATGTACATGTATATAACAAGCATTAAATGAAACATGACCCCGTTTAAAAGCAATAAGGCAAATGTACATCTAAAGGCAAAATCTGACACTACCTATAGGTGATACCTCTGTGAACTTTAGCCAAATCCCATAGGGACAGTAAGCAACACAAGAGTAGTGTATATAACTTGAAAATGTCACACTTTTCCGTCAATTTTAATAACGTAGCTAAAGTTGTTTTCATCCTACATGAAGTGCGTAGAGATTTAGTTACTGCTTGTGGAGTTAGTGCTGTTTGCCTTGGGGTGGAAAAAGTAAAAACGAAATTGCGGAAAAGCCAGAATTTACTTGTTTTATGAGCAAAAATAGCAGTAATTCCTTGCTTAACCTTACACTTACATGTTATAATTTAATTTTGTGTTTGGAAACAAATTTGGGATATATACTTGTACCCCTACATGTATCTACTAGTATACAACTGTACTTTAAAATATGCAATTTCTACATATTTGTACAAAGAATTTTTGTAAGAATAACAGCATTGATTAAATGTCTCATCCATCCTAATTTCCCAAGTCTGAATGCAACATGCAATCGCAACATATGCGTATAACATACACATGTAAATACAATCTCAAGTAGTTTGATCCATTCACACACTAAAAAGCCTCAGCACAATACATGTACATGTACATCTGCAACGCATATGTGCACAGGTTTACATTATTTACGGCATAGTGCTTATTTACTCATAGTGCATTTAGATGTTGGGCACCTCAGCTTCATTGATATATCATTTTGAATTCAAAGGTAGATATATGTATACGTGTCATTATGGGTCAGTTCTAAAAGAACCTTTTGGAAAAACCGAAGAAGACAATTAAGATTCTTATCACTGTTATTGCTATGATTAGTTGTTGAGTGTTCCTGTGTAAGGGATTTAGCCTCATTAACCCATAAATTTCATCATGTGAGCTGATGGCAGTATCAAAATACTTTTGTGAGTAAAATGTTCCTTGTTTTCTTTTTGAACTACGAAATCGTACTTCAACTAGCTGCAGACAAACTTTTACTTCTGTTTTGTTTTTGACATCCAGGAAATGTTTTACTATTAAAACTTGTGCCTCCTACGTTGACCATGATTGAATATTTATTTAGGAGACTACCATATCTCTGATAATGTAATGTCTATGGGTCCACTTAATAAGTTAATATTAAGGCCAAACAGAAGTCCTAAGTGACTTTCTCAAACCTGTCAGACTTATAATTGACAGTGCTTGTACACTTTTCCTAATGTCCTATGTAAGTGTGACCAATTATATTTTCTAAAACAAGTTGGACCTGTTTACCAAATTTTTCACATCATAAAATCCCAAAACAACATGGATAGAACATAAACAGATTTGCTTTGCACAAAGAAGTTAATGTCCTTATGCTTATAATGCCTGCCGAATGCTGATAATGCCCTCAACTGCGGCTCGGGCATTATCAGCGTTCAGTCTCCTGAGCCATTTTAGATTAACTTAAACTATCTATTCCTATTCACGAAAACCGTTTTAGTCAGAGAGTCAAAAGAAGTCAGTATTTAAGAAAGTTCCCAGGATTTTGTGCAAGAATTTACTTTCATTTTCCCAAACAACCGTGCCCATTTTATGGTATATTCCTTGAGCAAGAAGTCCAGAATAATCTCCTTATATGGACTTGGTGCATATGGCAAGTTCTGTGTGCTGCAGCGTGCACACTCTCTTGACCAATAAGAATGGATTTACTGTCTAGTATCCAGGTGCCAGCACGTTTTTATGTAGTGGGCATTATCAAATTGCAGCAGGCATTATCAAATGTGAATACATGGTCACGTTGCCCCTTGTTGAATAAGGAAACTGTCTGAAGTGTTTACGAATTTCAATTAAAGCTGATTATGTAAATGAGTCAAATTTGTTCAAGGGATGTCAATAGCCATTTTCTCCCTGGTCATGTCCAAGTCATTTTTTTCAAAGGAAAATCTTGAGTCAAAAAATTGGCAACTTGAGTTGTAGTTAACAAGTTGACAACAGAGTACATGTAACTCTCTTTGTGACCTCATCTCCAAGAAGGCAAGGTCTAAATATGAAATCATTCCAAAGTTTCTGGCACACAAATTTACTTAGAGACTTACTCACTTTTTCATAGATCTGCAGAGCTTTCTGCGTCTGAGTCAGAGTTCCTGCATCCAGGAGAGCATCAGCTTGAACCATTAGAAGCTCCCTCTTGAGACGAGAAGCTGCCAGCTTCTTGTTACCAGTTAATGCTTTCATACCTTGGTGCATTAAACAGGATATAAAATAATAAGGGAACCAAAATGTACCATGATGCCAAAATACAACAAACCAGGAAATCAACCTCATTTTCTACAGAATTGAAACATTTCTCAGTCTGTCAATGTACCACATAAAAACATGTTTAATGATGATGTTTGAGGAAAACTTGCACAGTAGGGATAGCCTAAAATCCCCTTTGTGTTCGACTCAGCTTGTAGGCCAACTCCCGTTAGCCAGTAAAGTTGCGTGTGCACTGAAGCGTGTAACTTTCGATAACTCGAACGTCGGATAACTCGAACTTTTCGTCCATTCTCTGAGCTTCGACTTATCAAGATTTTACTGTATATCTGTACTTAAAGTATTATACAACTGGAATGCACTCCTTCAGTGGAGTATTCCTAACATGGTGTCTTGCATCATGGGAGTTCATGACATATTAGAGGGTAAGTAAGGGTTATAATATCAACTTGTCAGAACTTCTCTGTCATTACCTTAGGTCAGTATCTATGGGTCTGTATGTACCACACAGATCTGAATCTTGATCAGTTATCTGTCACTGGTTCACTGACACCAGAACCCACCTCATCGATGAAGCGAACCAGCGCTGGGGTCACTGCTCAAATACCACATCCCTGCACACAAACAGGCTGTAGTGATTCATCTGAAATATGTATCTCCTCACCTTCATGAGTAGATTCTACTGATGCCTGGTTGTCATGGAGACCAAGTTGGGCCCTTGCAAGATACAGCCAACCATGCACACTCTTTCTGCTTCCCTTAAGACCTGAAATATTGATCAGTGGCCGGGTAACTTCTATGGGTGTCATGATGACATCAATGATACTTTCAGAGAAGTATAATCTCCATAGAATTATTCCATTATTACTGCATGAAAAATCTTATGCTTAGTAATGCTATGCAATTGGGACCAGTTGGATATGTGGGAGAATGCTTCAGCTGCCTGTGCATTGGTAGCTCCAACAGAAAAGCACCTTTCTTAAAAACATCATTCAAATATTGATATTAGAGAATATCAACCTTTGCAGAAATCACTTTGAGATATCAGGATTTGTATATTTTCTGTTGGTGTTCATACCTTGTTGCAGCCTGTCCCTTGCAAGCAGGTAGTCCTTTTTAGCCAGGCTAGCTTGTCCTATTCCAAGTAATGCTACAGTGGACGCATCATCCAGGGTTTGTAGTTTATCATACACAGAAACTGCTACTTGATCAAGGCATTCTGCAGAACAAAATGTGGACAACTGTCATATCAACACTGGTGTGACTGAACAGATTTAGCAATTTTAACTCCCCATGATATCCCATTAGTGGTTCCAAAAATTGACCCAGTCCTGATTTGCTCGTTATCAGAGATCATGATCTCAAAGCCCTAATGTAATTGTTTCATTGCAGTTCTCATAGATACCCCTTTGCATCCAATTAAACCTTGTTGTGCCACTTTAGGGACATTCCTTTATTTTTATGGTACTTTTTATTTTCACGTTAATGTAAAAATTGCACATTTTTGAGCAAATGTTTGATATCACTCATGGCAGAATGCCCAATGCCATGGATATGTCTGCACTGAAAATCACCAGACTTTTTGCAATTTTGCTGTCATAATTTTTTATTTTACTTCATTGAGTTAGTTCCTGATTGTAGTCTACTAAGCCCACATTTCTCACAATATTTTTGACAAGCAAACTTGGGGTTTATAATTTGAACAATAAGCCCCAGAAGTGAAGAATGTCTTCCTGTAATGACATCACGGCAACAGCACCCTCATTTCATCAGGAAAAACAAAGAAATTTTTAATGTCTTCAAAAATGCACTTTTCAATGACAGCAACCAAAACAGGGGTTTCAAATAGTTTGTGCCATTTAAGAGAAGCAACAAATTACATCAAACATATACCCAGCTAAAATTCACATCATGGACCCCTTTAAGTCTCTTGTTTTCAGTCAGCGTACTCACCTGGGGAATGTTGCAGATAAATCCCTGCCAGGATTGTCAAAGGATATGGATCAGAGGGAAATAACTCGTGCATCTTGAGGCATTCAGTCTTAACAAGTTCGTCACCGATATCATTACGCTGATGCAAAGAAAAGAAAGCACCCTAACCAGTAATATTCCATGACGAAGGAAAACTTAAAAGAAAACCCCCTTTGATTCAATGATTTTTTGGGGGAATGAAAATCCACTAAGGAATTTTTTCATATGCATGTATATTTCTTCTTTTATATTTCTTCCTTCTTTTCCTTCCAGTGTAGGAAGAGGTCAAATGTTACATTGGATAACACAGTGACTATACACGTTACTGGACCTATGGTTTTCGCTAGTAACTTTCTGGAAAATCTCCAAAGTTTTCAGTTGTTCATGCACTCCTGGTTAATTCAATTTGAGGGATGCATCAAGCCCCATGTAGAATAACAGAAACTAGAGTCTACCTTCCTCAGTCTAACAGAATCTTTCCCAACCTGCAACTGGATTTTGAAGGACCTGAGAGGGTTACGGATAAAGGAGGAAAAGGCAAGGAATTCTCCTGAAATATGTTAAGAAAATGCACCTTAGTTAAGAACTTGATGTAACTGCAGAAGTGTTGCTGTTTGTCTTCCCCAGATTTCAAGATGGTCTTGTAAGCTCTCTCCAACTATGAATCATGAATTAAGGGAAACATGTAAAAGGTTTTATTGCATTATTTCTATTTCAAGGGAAGATTTGCAACGGGGAGATGTAAATTAATTTTGGATTTTTTGCCCTGCCCAACGTGTATTTTAGCACTGTATACTCAGTGTATGCCCCCAAAGGCTTGTAAAAAAAACGGAGCAGGAGGTCGTTGGTTAGAGTCCCAACCGAGTACACTTGTGGTTTTTTACACAAGTCTTCGGGGGTGCATACACTGAGTATAGAGTATTAAAATACATGTCGGGCAGGGCAAAAATCCAAAATTTATTTGCATTATTTCTGTATAAAACAATAAATTATAATGTAAAGAATATGTCTTGATGATTGGTCTCCAAGAGAAGTAGGAAAATTACAATTTGGAAAAGTTTGGAAAGCCACTCTGCCCGTGGATTTTTACCTTCATTAATATAAATCTTCACAAGGGATATGATGTAAACAAAAGCATCAGCTGGCTGTGCTGGGGGGGGGAGGACGAGGCAAAAGCTGTGTCATGTATGCTTATGTGCATGGGTCTTTACAAAAGTTGTTTGATATTGTCGTCAGATTCTAAATAAAAAAGCATGGGTTTTCAGCCATGTCAACGAGGTGTATTGCTACAGAAGAACTGCAAGTGATGGTGTGAGCCTACACATGTTCCCCACTGACCCTAAATTCCAAAGAATTTGGAAAAGTCAAGACTACTAAGGCAAAGAGGTCTGGTCACTGTGCAGTGAATACGTAGAACTATCGTGCTTTAAATCTGGATGAAAGAGCTCCTTTGGCATGACAAAAAAAAATGCTGTTCAAAAAATAATGCTACATGTGCTTCCACTTTATTCCCATTTGCAAGACAATGGAAAGGAGCCCAGCAAGCCAACCAAATGCCTACATATACGAGGAATATTCACTAAACGGGGAAAAATTGGGACAATTAACAGTAAATGAGTGTTGATGACTTCCTTGTTCACTTAAAAACTGCTGGAGTGAGTGCATGGGGTCTATGCACCCTATTACTAGTTACAAAGACTGGACAACCAGTAGGCTGATCTCGATGTCATTCCACTAAACACATCCTCACAAGAGCAAGGGTGAATCCAGGGACGGGGACAAACATGGGCTGTCCTCCCCTTCTAAATAATTTCCCATTTTTGGCGCCCCAAATAATAAGTCTTCCCCCCCGAAAATCTTGTTCTGTATCTGCCCATGAACGAGTGCAAAAAGTGTTGGTTATACAAAATGTCATTGCAAGGAGCACAGTGAGATCTAACTCATACACAACATACTTTACAATGCAGTCTTCATTTTATACACTGACCCTTCTGAGTCAATGTCATAAAGCTGTAGCATCTTTTGCCCTGACCCAACCATCCCAAATGACAATGACAAATTTTGTCCCCATTCATTAAAAAAAAATTAACTCATCCTTGACGACACAGAGCCCACAATAATTGCTGCAGACTATCATGAACCCCAGGAGGACCTTAAAAACAGTGCAACTTTGCTTTAACTTTTCTGTTATTCGTGGTTTTTAGGCATGTAGAATTTTGTATTCGTAGGATCAAAGTGCACATACAGTGTACTGGCCTTTAACCACTCAACACAAGATGACGTGTAAACAAACATAATTTTCCTTATTGTTCCATGGAAGATGTCTACACTCATTTAAGAATTCTCTTTTATTTCTGCAGATGACATATTAATGCGTTGTGCTTGGTTGGGTCCAAGCACAATTGCAAGGATGAAGAATTTGCGGGTAAAAAAACCCCATCCTCAGCAGCTTTTTCAGGTACGAAAATCCAATGTTAACTGGCTACTGTATTCTAATGAAGTTACGTTTGAATATGTAAATTCCTTATAACCAAATACAAATGAATTGCTAATAAGACACTCCTGTAGTACATTTCTACATATCACTGTAGAATGACACGTACATGTCATGACATGAACAGAGGCAATAACATAAGCTACTTCTAAGTCATATGCACAATTGAGTGGTCACTTACCAGTGTGACATACTCATCCGGCAACTCCTGGGCTCCAGCCAGTGCATTGGCAAGCTGTATCCAATATCCCAGTCTTGTTGATGGGTCTTCCATCTCTTTTGATTGGATGATGGATCGTAAAACCTGAACAGCCTTGAGGGAGAGTGGAATGGACAGGAAGAAGCAATCACTTTCAAAATGGTGAACACTATGAGCAATTTCATTTTAAAAAATGGTTTAGAAGGGCAAAATTCCTCATACACAAACAATTTTTAATTTTCAATGCTGATGCAACTTAGTTTGCAGTACTTGCTTAAAACAGGTGCTGGTAAGACCTGAATGGAAACAAAAGACTTCTTTTGTTTTGTTTGGCCTGATTGCCAGAACAATGGCAAGCTAGGAGGTTTAAGGGATTGCTGATGACAATCTCCTTTCAATGAGGGGAATAAATATGTGATTGGCCAGTCTTAAAAGTTCAATTAAGACCTGCTTTCGCACAGAATTTGCTTAAGTGCGATAAAACCTTGCTTACTAAACAAACGTTACCAGCTCCAAACTCCATGTGACTGCCATGCTAACCAAAACACATACCATTAAAAAAAAAATACATCACAAAAAGTTTTGGCTGGTAACCAGTTTTGTCAAGCAAGGTTTCTGCACACTTAAAACAAATTTTTTGCTTAAGCAGCACTATGAAATTGGCCAATTGGGGCCCAATTCCACAGAGCTGCTTAACAGTTGGCAGAAAGGTTACGCTTACAATAGCAGAAAAATTTGCTAACCTTAAGCACTACAGTTGGCATGTAGTTGGCATGGTTGTGATTACAGCTGCGTAAGCATAAATATTTCCACTGCTTTGTTACCACGTTTTAAAAGCAAAGTTTTCCTCCAAGGTAAGCATGTCTTTTGCCATACTTATCGCTAACAGTCCCCATGAAATACACGGAGCCTCTGTTCACGTAAAATCGTGTGCTTAGCAGCACCATGAAATTTAACCCAGATCAGGAGAATGGACACTGATAGTGCCTTGATAGAAGATGAGGGAAATTATCAAAGTCCATTCTGAGCCAGTCTTAAACCAGCCAAGCACATCTTTATTTCCACTGACATGTACCTTTAGGGTTGCAAAGTCAAAACCAGTTTCAAATGATAAATTTCCAACAATATTGATCAACAATTTTACTTCATATTTCCAAGCATCCCTCATATTATGGTATTTTCCTCTTGCAAGTAGTCTAAACAATCTCCTTATATAGAGACTGGTGCACACATAACGTGTACTGCCCGAGGTGGTGCCCAGCCAGCTGGTGCGTTGTCAACCATATAAGACCAGACAGGTGACAGGCTCTAAACCAACAGGAATGGTTTAACTGTCTCAATTATTTATGCATACTGATCAATTCACTTCAATGAGACATGTCATTGACAAATTGTGGATATTAAAAGTCTGCATTTCCCAATTTATCAAACAACTAACATACTGCAAGAAAGACTTTCAAAATTTTAAGTTTTGGAATTCTGTAAATGAAAGATACCAAGCATTTGCTTTTAAAACATTTTTCTTCTAATGCTATAGTTAAACAGCATTATAGCAAAGTTGTTGGGACTTTACAACTTCTGTTAGCTGTCCCAAGCGGGACCAAGAGAGGGACCATATTCCCTTGCAACGGTGGCTCCTTTGGTGGGTACCACCCTTTGCTAGATGACAAACTTTGTTTATTAAATGCACATCATACCGGAGGACCTGTGTAACAGTGTTCCCAATTCCTTTTTATGTGCTTCTGTCTACATACAATCTCTCTGTCTTGCAGTCCATCGATATGACGAAGACTGATCTATGGTTTCAGTTTAGGTTTAATGATGCTTCTCCATACAGGTCTGCTGTTCGCCATTTGCTGCCATCTGTTCAGGGTGATTCCGCGCCATTTCATGTTTCTTTTAACTATGTCTTTAAAACCGAGTCTGGGTCTTCCCTGATTTCTGTGGCCAGCCCAGGGCTGGAAGTGCAACAGCTGTCTGGGTAGCCTGGTTTTCTCTATCCAGTGCACAATAATGCAGTGGAAACCAGACCATGTCCAAAACGATCTTCCAAAGATATAGCCACATCTATTGTTGACACATCTCTGTGTATTTTCAATGGAGAGGGATATACATGTAGACCTACATACATAACCGATTCTGATGCAGCCATTGAACACTCCCCATCAGCATGGCTCTCTTTCAGTACCAATGAGGGGGTGCTTCTGTTTAGGGTAGATTACAGGAATTCTGTACGATCACAACTGGAACACAAAGAGTACAAAGACATGGGGCCTTGCATTTCCCATGTTACCGGTATACAGGCAGAATGTTGTGCTTTCATGTGCAGCGGTCTTAGTATCTGGGATGTTAAATCTCAAGGATTACCAAAAAACCATTTACATTTTTCTCCACTGCAGCCCCTGTCCAGTTCCATTGGCTCTACCTGTGGCCAGAATCCCTCCCACTATTGGACAACTAATTTTCCCAGCATTCTTTCCCTTATATTACCTGTTGTATGTCACCCAGCTCACAGTGTAGTCTTGCCAGTTTCTCTGAAACTTCCTGCCATTTCTTGGGTTCCTTGGTTTTCAACAACTCTCTCAGCTGACTATAAACATCGGCCAGTTCTGGCTGATGGCCAGGATTCTGGCTTTTCTCATAGAACCCAGCTAAACCCTGTCAAAAGAGTGTTTTGTGAGCACAAGTTTTAATTCAAATGAAGTTAACACACAAGAACCATCACTTGAATTCAAGATCACAAAACTGCATTCATGAACATTGTTAACAAGCTCAATTTGGCCTTGCATTAATTTAAGGCTCCTGTTGCAGACAATGTGTGCAAACTTGGACAAAAACGTTCACCAGCACTGTCAATCGGTCTATAGCTATCATCGGCTAATCCTATTGCACCAAAAGCACAGCAGCCTCCACAACCAGTTGCATAGGGAGAATAGTGAGCTCTCTGAATACATAACAAATTACAACTCTGACATCATGACAAACTGCCATATACTGGTATGCACTAATTAACTGAACAAGTTCAATATGTTTTTTCTATGCTGACTATGGGAAACATGTGTTACTGTTCTCCAAAAGCATGTTGTCATAAGAGTGATGACAGTAATACCTCCTCACTAAACAGGTAGTTATGTAGTGCATAATCGACTGTCAAACCTGCCTCCAAATTAATAAGACCAAATTGGCTCTCAAACAGTAACAAGATAGACTATTAGTATTAAATGAGGGAATTTCAAGTTTTGTTGGTCATATACACACTTGTGTCATTTCAGGCAGCAAAAAAAGGACTTTGCCTTGTAATTTGTAAAGAAACACTTGTTTCACAGTACATGAAGCCATTCCAAAGACATCTTGAGAGAAATTTGTAAATGGTGGAAAAAATAAATGCAACCTATAGGTACTGATTGGAAAAAAAATGGAAAAATCATCACCGACTAAAGTTACCACAAATGCTATAAACTCAAATTCACAAAATATCATGAGAGAAACATAGTGTATCATGAACACAGAAATGTAATACACTGTACATGTACATATTGACTTGTAAACAGCTGTGAAGTTATAACTCTACTCAAAAGGGGTATTCTGTGTTAAATCAAACACTTTTCAGGATTAATCTCATAGATTTTCCTAACTAATGCTAAAAGTATTTGCTCATAAATCCAAAATTTTGATGTTTTGGGTCATAGGGTATATGAGGTACAGGTAATTGAACATCCAATGCTCCAGTGTAACTTTGAATGCCTAGATATCTCTGCTTTGGAATACCAGCAAGAGATGAGTTTTTATCTCAATCTAAAAAAGCACCTGACCTACATGTAAGAAGTACTTTGTGTGGAAATTACAAAAAATTAAAAATAAACTTTCCATACAGAATTTCCATGGTACATGTATGTCCAAAAGAGGAAAGTGAAGAGTCCAAGAAAGCAGAGAAAGGATCATAAGAATGTTTTTCTTCACCTGCCAAGCTAGAGGTTGTTGCTGGTCAGTCTCAATAGCTTTCTTGTAGGCAGCAACTGCTTGGTCTGGTTGGTCTAACTCAGCTGCTGCTACACCAACAAACACCAAGGCATTGTAGTTGTTCTTGTCTTGCTTAAGCACAGACTGGTCATTCACACAAAAACAAAAATGGCCAATTGGTCTAACCATTGTATTGTATGCTGAACAATGAAAAGGCAGGCATGTAGATCACCAGGATTTCTTTCCACGGGGAGGGAAACCACTTCTTAGCCGATGAAAAAAAATTTTGGAGGGGGAGGGGCTGGGGACGGGAGGAAGAGGAGCACGTACTCATCTGCTACGAACTGACAAATCATGAAAAGTGGCAGCGGTCAATTTTGATTGTTTTGCAAGCAACCCAAACTGTTTGTTTTCATCCCCTTTCATCTATTTTTCCATTTCTCACACTTTTTATTCCTTTTTTGGTCCTTTTTTATTAACCCTAACTGCCCAAAACCTGCCATACTCCAACAGCAGGTTTTGTGAGGTTTTGGTAGGTTTGGTACCGTACCTGAGGAAC